AGAAAAGATCAATAATATCAATGATTTCACCATGCACAAAACAATAATCGGTTTGTTCCGATGCGCTAGTTCATTTGCTACAACATAAATCATGTTTGAGCGCATTGGATGAATATTTACGCTCATTGTTCTCAAATCAAAAGAAGCGCTCCTAGCGAATCCCATTTTTTTACGTTTATCCGTAGGACGAAGAAAATCTAATAGCGTTTCAATGCGTTAGAACGGAATTGAAACGCGTAGAACGAATTTAGAATCAAGAAGCAGTATTAGATTTTAAACAGTATCTCAACAATTTGTGGCTCTTTATCAAATCCAACGGTATGGCAAGGTGAATAAATTTAGAAGTCATTTTTGACAGAAATATTCCCTTTTTTGTACAAACCCATTCATAAATAAGAGGTAAAGCGCAGGGCGTAGTAGGACGGAGATTAGATCAAAAACCTTACCTTACTTTAACTTAGCAGTAACACAGCCCCGGGGAATTACCCAAATTCACATTTCCCGATTCCAAAGAAGCAGCTTTTTTACAGAAACCATATGATTTTTCTGAAGAAAAAAAAGGGAAATCCCAAGGGGTACTCAACTTTTCACACTGTACTGTCAAGTGTTTTACCACTCGTTGCAACTTTATTTACTCCTAGGAGCTTCACAATTGGCTCGAAAAATGTCGAGGAAAATCTCTTAAGTATTTCCTGCACCATGAATCTCACCGAAACCAACAAATCTCAACCGATTGCAGGTTCATATCCCGTTAATACCAAAGGTCTTCCGGGATGGAAATTTTCCCGATTTCCCCTACGTTTTTCATCAGATATTCTTGCCAGTCATTGGTTTCAATAGGCGATTCCAATAGAAATTAAGCGATTGTTTCAGCCTCTGTCCGTCAATAGGGGAACCCTCAAAAGAATGATCACGGTGGAAATTTTCACCGGGGTACCCGTGATCTCTGCTATATGCAGTCGATTTATGTGTTTCTGCAAATGTCTAGCATAAGAATTTAATTCGTTTGACTTTTGTATCTCTTTATTAGTTTTTGTTTGTCAAGATTTTCATCGTCGCCCACTGCACAGTGGTGCAGAATGCAGATTTAGGTGGAATGATATGTTTTGAGCCTGAAGTTAAAACTTTAGACTAAAAGTCTTTTCTACAACGTTGTTCCTTATAGTTGGGCCCTCATTTTTTTGGCAATGAATTCTTGGGTGGTTCGGAACGTAGACAACATATTTTAATATCATATGGGTGGAAAATTCGTAGAACAAATAATTTCAAATTCTTCATTTTTCAAGATATATTCGAGCATGAAACTAAGTCAAATTTCAATAAAATCACTTTGAATAGTCAACCTTTGGTTACAAAGTTGATAGATAACACGTTAAGCTTTGCTATGAAAGTTGTTACAGCAGTTTTCAGTTGTTTCAGTCTCGAGATGCAAATATTATAAGCCGTAAATTACCTTAAAAACATAAAATTAACTTGAAGCACCTCTAAATCATCACCGATTTTGCTGAAAATTTGCACAGAAGTTCAAATTAACATGACGAACAGTAATCACGGTTGACTTGTTACATTCCGAACATTTCGTTTAAAATGAACAGGTCTACTATACATTATTGGGTAAAGTTATAGCTGAGCTAATTTCAAGCAACTTTGTTCAAAACAACTTTTTTGTATCTCTTAAATTGGCCGACTTAGAGCTATTTTCTTGAATTGAGTTAGGGTGGCTCTAAAAAAACAGTTGTTTTGCTCTAGTTTTCTTATTTCGAATTTTCTCAGCAAAGGTGTCTTCAAATAAATTTTAGTGTGCATTGTTTGTTAACAGCAATTAAGTCCTTTTGAAATTTTAACACTAATTTGATGATTTTCATTGGTAGTACATTGCATAAGGTAGCACAACTACATAAGATCGTGAACTTGGTAAGCATGAACGTGTGTAATTGGGCGCTGGAAAGAACACCATTATCAGCGACACGATAGGCTTGGGTGGTTTCTTCGAGGTCACGTACTTCTGAATCGATCAGATGAACTGGTTCGAGGATCTTTGATTTTGTTGGGGAACATTTCGACCACCATCAATCAGGTTACACCTTCATTTCTGCAGACGTTTCTTTTGGACTGGTCAAATTTGCGTGAACACCGTATAGGTTGGATGCATCCCAGTTTTTTTTTCCACTGCCCGCTCCGCTCACTTTCAAATGAGAATGAAGCTTAATGTTTGCCATATTTAAACCATCAAGGAAATTAAAAATGTAAACACTATCACCAAAGTCAGTAAAACTTCAGGATTGCCAAACTCATGAGATATTGACACCTTGATTGGTACAGTTTGGTCTACTTCGGCACGTTTGGCACAGCGCTTGCCACAGCTCTCGGAACAACTAAATCTTGCCCGTTGGGAACCCTGAAAATTTACTTATCTGATTTACTTCGCGAAATTGGAAGAACCTAGCAGTCGTGTCATCAACACCACTGCGACCAGTAATTTGATCTATTGTAGTATATCCCGTGTCCTTAGTTTAGTGCATGTCGTATTACTCCATCACTATTGAGAAATGATGAAGTATTCGATTTTTTTTACAGTTGTCATTCTTGCATTTATCGCAAGGATCCTACTCTAATTGAAAGGTCCCGCTATTTATACCCTTGGGAGTGTAAGAATACCCTCCAAAGGTGCACCCCTTTGTCAGTCAAAATTGGATTCCTTACCAACAAAATTAATCATGCATCAGAACCCTAGTCTTAACCACTTCAAACTAGATAACAACGAATAGAAGATTAGAAATCACATCGATGAAGACTAACTAACTCATTTTTTTCCTTGTTTCAAGATCATCCTTGGTTGGCAAAGCGTCGCGAGTCTTTTCACTATCAACAAGGCATAAAAAGTAACAAGGACTAAGATGTGTTCCTTGTCCTTGGATTGCTGAAAAATCCTGTTTCCCTAGTTTGAAGTAGTCAGGACTAGGAATCGGTAGTAGATCTCCCGCAACGCACCACGAAAAGGTGATCTACTCACGTTACGGGGCACTAGCGACAATTCGAGAGACCCTAGTGATCTGAATAATTTCGCTCCAAGACAGTAACCTCCTATATCGCCAGGTTCACGGGATATTCCACTTTGGAGCCAATTCAGACAAATCCCATATGCTACGTGTACTCTATTTACGCGATTCCCTTGCACAAATGGAATCACTTTAGATCAACGTAAATGAAATTAATTTCATGTATTGTGGAAAATATGTAATGCTATTGCGTAGTTTTGCCATTCTACATGACGACATGCAATAGTACGGAAGGTAAGGAACATGTTTGACACAACAAATGAAATGGAAGTAAGTTTGTCCAGAATGCATTTTTTTTTTGTATAAAACCTTCGCGGAATGATTTTCTAGACGCAATGCATTTGGGGAAAACACTTTGTTCGAAAATTAAGATAGCATAAAAGTTTCAAAATTAGTGGTACGAAGCCAACGGGGCCACTTTCATACCCAAGGGCATGACCTCCCCCCCCCCCCCCAACGCACCGGGACTAAGGTCCATAGAAAAATACTAAATACTATGCAGCAAGCACTATGGAAGCATCCCAAGGAGGTCAAATCTGAGGAAGACATGAAGAAAAAGTGGGTTTCCGTACAGAAGAAGCTGCAGCCAGATGTTGTACCGCCGGGTAAAGCAGTGCATAAGAACGCTCGTGAACGGTTGTCGGGCTCTGCCAGACGATCGACGACTTGCGATATCTGTGCATCTGAACTCCGATTCTTACCTCCACGCGGTGCTCGGTGGAGTTGCTGGCTATGATGCGTTGTAGCCAGAAACGCGAACAAGAACGGGGGAGTCCGAAGGTTTTGAGTGTGTGCAGGATGGGACCTAGTCATGTCTTAGGCCCATCCGATTACCGTGCTCAACCTTTCTGGCGGCAGTCAGTGTATGGACCTACTTCTAGCGTCCACGTTTGAATCAACGGAGCGATTCGGGCTGGCAGATGGAACCTCCCGTCTTAAGTGTTTCCGTTCAGTGTGATAGGGGTGAGGCACTGTCCTATATTTTTTCCCCTAAGGTTTGCATTGGGAACAGACTCCGGCGGCTTCGGCCCGAGAGGGTCTTTCCCGTACGAAATAGTTGATGATGCAAAACAGAGTCAGCTATTGTTAGGGTCGACGGACCCTGGCGAAAAATAAACGCAGCGGGAAGATTGTTCTCCTCACGGAGGCAGTCAAAGGAGGTGGAAAAGTAGCGTGGAACCATCTCGACGTGGCTTCAGCGGTTCAGCGTTCTGCTGGGCATACTGTTGAGGCCCACATGGATCGGGGTGGTTCGCGTTACGTGCTAGAGGTTAGTGATCCTGCTGATGCTGAAAAGCTGAAGCAGATCACTGAACTTAGCGGAGGATTCAAAGTTCGGGTGGGTGCACACCCTACTTTGAATAAAGTTCGTTGCGTGGTATCAAGTGTTGATATCATCAACGAATCGGAGCAGACTCTGAAGGAGCATTTTGCTACACAAGGTGTAGTAGATGTCCACAGAATCTGCAAGGGTAGTGGCGAGGGGAAGGTTAACACCTCATCCGTGGTGTTAACTTTCGTGGGGACCAACTTTCCGGAAACGGTTAAGTTTGGTCTCCTCAGCATTAGGACCCGAGCGTACTACGCCTTGCCCTTGCAGTGTTACAACTGCTATGGGTATGGGCATGGTCGCGCGGGTTGCAAGAACAAGACCAGGTGCAGGGTCAGTTCAGGGGTCCATCCGGTTGCCGAGAAATGTGGAGCAAAGGCCTTCTGCTCCAATTGTCGAGGCTATCATCAGCCGACTAACCGTAGGTGCCCTACCTACGTGAAGGAAGCTGATATTCTAAGGATCAAAACTAACCTTGGTGTCTTCTTTGGGGATGCCAAGAAGGTTTTTTAGCGACGAGCGAAGCGGGAAGTCTTATGCAGCGGTTGCTGATAGGACGGCACCTGTTGACTCTGGTAAGGGTCAGCAGGTGCCATTTTTGTCTTCCCAAGGGAAGAAGAAGAATAAGGCCAAGCAGGGAGCTGCGAAGTCGAACCCTCAGGGCAAGGGAACAGACGGAGCTCCATCTGCAAAGGGTGCGAAGGCCGGCAAAAAGGGGACTACCCAGTGCAAGAGTACTGGGGTTGGTGCTAGTCCACCTGCCGGTCTTACGCAAGTTGCTACCAAGAGTGGAAAGACTACTGGTAGGGAGGGCAAAGTGCTAACCCAAGAGGTTGGCACCGACCCCTTGCCTGATGCCGAAACACCAACCGATAAGGACAAACAGCTCCTGGAAAAGTTGGTGGAAAGTCTACGTAAGGAGGTCGCCCTTGACAAGGGGAAGATCAAACAGCTCAAGGAGTCCAAGACTCGCCTTGAGATGGAATGTGCTTCCCTTGTTGGACAACTCGAAAGAGTTGGCGTTAACCTTGACTCTGATGAGAGCGAGGCTACTGCTCCCGTGACCCGTAGGAAACGGAAGCAGACCGCTGGCCTCGAGGACACTCGAGGTAAGAAAAGCCGGAAAAAGGAGAAAATACAGCACCTTCTCCCCCTATTGACTCGGTATCGGAGCGCGAAAGCGATGCTGTTGCCGGTAAAAAGTAGTTACCATGTCTGATGTCCCACAACAAAATGGTAAAGAGCCATCGAACGTAATACTGCAATGGAATGTCCATGGGTTGCGATCAAAGTTATCTGAGATCTAGCTATTGACAAAGAAACTGAACCCTTGTGTCATCGCTCTCCAAGAAACGATGGCAAAGGTAGCAGATCTACCTCCAAACTATCTCGGTGGTAGATATAAGTGGTATATTAAGCCTCACATTAATGCCTATATCCACGGCACTGGATTGGCTATTAGAGAAGATATACCACCATTCAGTTTCCGTATAAGCTGACTGTTGTTAGCTTATACATGGCTCCGAGGAATAGGGTTGGCAAGGAAGTGAACGTCATCGGCAAACTGCAAGATCTCATCTCGCAGCTGCCTGTCCCTTATGTGATAGTGGGCGATCTGAATGCGCATCACCCCTCCTGGGGATCACATAAGACGGACGTTCGTGGTGAGAGGTTGTATCAGCTACTGGACACGTTGGGTTGTTCAGTGCTGAACGATGGCAGACCGACTCGGTTCGATCCCACCACCGGGGTAGAGTCCGTGATTGATCTGGCCATAGCCTCTTGGGATGTAGCCAGCCAGTTTATCTGGCGGGTTGACGACGACTTACACGGAAGTGATCATTTTCCTATCTCATTGTCACAGGCTGTAGACTAGGGTGTTTCATTTTGAAAAAAGTGATGAATTTTTGATAGGCCACCCTCCAGTTCGATTCATAGCCCCAAAATATGAACCTGTGCAAAAAATGGTAAAGATTGATGAAGGTTTAGAGGTCGCGCCAATGATTTGGATTTTGTATGGAGATTTTGGTGAATTAGTATGGGAAATTATTGATTTTCGTTTACATTGCTCTAACTTTGGTTGTAGTTGTCCAAACGTTGAAAAAAAAAATATGTGGTTGTCATGACAATGATCAACAAGCCTGTTGTTGTTGCGATGAAATTGGCGTTGTTGCCTTGTACATATTCATCTGTCAATTTACCCTATTTTGCCATTTTTTCACATTTTTATAATTCTTGATACGCTGCAAAACTGAGCGTAGCAACTGTAGGCTTTTTGTTTATTGCCATAGCAATAACATACTAAATTTTTTCGACATTTGGACAAGTAGAAGCAAAGTTATAGCGAAATAAGCGATTTTTTAAATTCTTCCATAGTAATTCCCATACAAATTTCAAATCATTGGCGCGACCTCTAAACCTTCATCAATCTTTACCAATTTTTGCACAGGTTCATATTTTGGGGCTATGAATCGAACTGGAGGATGGCCCATCAGAAATTCATCACTTTTTTCAGAATGAAGCACCCTACTGTAGACCTCCCGTCTACTGTGACAAGGCTGAGATGGAACCTTGAGAAGGCAGATTGGGACAGCTTTGGCAAAGAAGTCTGTCGCCAACTGCCTGGTGATGACAGGATATTGAGACCAGGTGACAGGACCCAAATCTTGAGTAAGGCCGCTCATCGTCATATCCCAAAGGCTGGAGGGAGAGGAGGTATGAAAACTGTTCCTTGGTGGGGGACAGAAGTTCATACAGCGATTAAGGCTAGACGTAAATGTCTAAGGGCGCTGCGTAGGTTGCAGCTTGATGATCCTTCTAGGGCCGATAGATTGAGGGAGTTTCAGCTTGCTTGATCTAAATCTAGAAGCGTAATCAAAGCTGCAAAGCGGCATACATGGTCTGCTTTCACCGCAGACATATCGGAAACCACTAGCTCTGGTGAGCTATAGCGAAAGGTAAAGTCTGTCGGTGGTAAGAACAGACATGTTGAGAGGGTTATTAAGTTGGATGGCGATTACACGAAAGACCCAGGACTTATCAGTGAGGCCTTTGCTGATCAATTTGCCAAGGTGTCGGCAAACAGCAATCACAGTGATGAGTTCCTGCGTGTAAAGTCATTGGCTGAGGGGAAGTACCGCTACTCCCGTGACAGGCAGTGTAGTCTAGTTCAAGACTACAACAGGGTATTCGTGCTTGGAGAGCTCAACTGGGCCCTGCGCCGCGGCCTTGGTAAGGCTGCGGGCCCTGACGACATCGGGTATCCCTTGCTTAGGAGATTACCCTTTGTCGGCTGATCGGCTCTTCTTGCTACTATGAACGAAGTCTGGCTTTCTGGCCAGATGCCGGATGAGTGGAAAGAAGGGTTGGTTATTCCTATTCCCAAACCTGGGAAGGATAAAACCCTAACAGAGGGTTATCGACCGATAACCCTGCTGAGCTGCATGGGAAAAACACTCGAGCGGATGGTTAACCGTCGTCTGTCAACCGAGCTGGAGAAGCAAGGACGGATCCACCCACGGCAACACGCATTTCGATGCGGCTATGGGTCGGAGACGTTCTTCTCTGAGCTCGATCATTTATTGGACAAGGCCTCGTCGGAAGATTTGCATGTAGATGTAGTCTCCCTCGATTTGTCCAAGGCATATGATATCACATGGAAGCTTCCTATCTTGACTTCCCTCAAGAGCTGGGACTTCCAAGGATGTATGTTTAACTACGTAGAAAACTTTCTACAGAACCGTAGGTTCCGAGTATTGAACGCTGGCGCAACCTCTTCTTCGAGGTTGCTGGAGAATGGCATCCCGCAAGGGTCTGTACTCTCGGTTACACTGTTTCTCATTGCGATGAACTCAGTGTTTGAACGCATTCCCAAGGAAGTATACATCATTGTATACGCCGATGATATTACCCTTATCGTGTTAGGTAAATACGGTAGATGCAGGATGCAGTTCAGTCTGTCGTTGACTGGGCAGATGGTGTTGGGTTTGTGATTTCCCCCGAGAAGTCCAAACTGCTGCACGTCTGCTTTGGTCATCATCACAGACCGAACCTGCCTTATGTTAGTATCGGTGAGCATGCGGTCAAGGCCGTACGCGAGATGAAACTGCTTGGTTGTGACTATTGATAACAAACTCCGATTTGTTAAGCACGCCAAGTTGGTGAAGGATAACGTCAACAATAAGTTCAATTTCCTTCGGACCCTAAATGGTCGCTTCTCTGAAGCCTCTCGTAGTACATTGACCAAGGTTGCTAGGGCTCTGGTTGTCCCTAGCATCCTTTACGGGGCGGAACTGTGGAGCAGGGGTGGTGTCTCCCTGCTCAAGATTCTGGAACCTCAGTACAATGAGGCGTACAGAATTTGTAGCGGAGCGCTGAGGTCTTCACCAATAGCTTCTCTATTGGTGAAGAATGGAAAGGTTCCTTTGGTGAATGTTGTCACCGAAGACCTGGCCACCAAGGCGCTAAGGCTCCTAGAAAGGGATCCCATTCTCAATGACAGGCCCACGGTTGCAAGGGCGAGAGAATGGTGGAGCGGCCCAGCGAGCTAGGCTGTGACAACGGGCATGGGATGCTACTGCCCCGAAAGTTGGTTGGAGGGTTAAAGCTATATGCGGGGCGGGGGCTAGCTCTAGTGTGGCGAAAGCTGCATTTCGGGAGGTCGCTGCCTCATACGAGGGAAGGCTCAAGCTATTTACGGACGGTTCATTAATCGAAGAGGAGGTTGGTTATGGGGTGTCTGGGGAGGACATAAGCCGCTGCGGCCGGTTACCCGGTCTCTGTGGTATCTTCTCAGCTGAGGCCTATGCTCTTCTGCAAGCTTGTAGGCTAGCAAATGGGTCTCAGGCCGTTGTATTTTCTGACTCTGCGAGTTGTCTCTCTGCCCTTGAGCATGGGCAAGTTGGACACCCGTGGCTGTTAGAGGTGCAACGGTACGCTAACATAACCTTTGTATGGGTACCTGGACACGCAGGTATACCAGGGAATGAGGCTGCTGATAAACTAGCTAACCAGGGTCTTCTTGCTCGACTAGAGGCCACTCCGGTGCCCTATAGTGACGCTACCCGCTGGGTGAAGCAGACCTCGCGATACGCATGGAATGTGTCTTGGCATAACAACCGTGATGCATTCCTGCGTCGTATCAAGAACACTACACAAGAGTGGAAGGATGCACCTAATTCTCGAGATCAGAAAGTTCTGACTCAGCTGAGGATTGGTCATACACGGCTCACTCATGGACCTCGTTTTAGCGGCAGTGTGGCCTACTGCCAGGGATGCGGAGCGGTATTAGATGTAAATCATCTATTGGTGGAGTGCCCGGCAAGAGAAAACTGTACTCAACTTCCTGAGGGCGTTAGACTTATACGATATGATATAAGCATGAGTAAGTTGAAGTGGCATTAGAAAGAAAATGACTGGTAGTCATGCCACTTCATTCGACAAGAGGCAGTCTTAAGGTCTAAAGACCAAGGTGTGTGAGGGAGAACGACCGACCTAACGGGGGACACAATGATGAACCAGCTGATGTTTAAAACCCGTATCGAATGAACTAAATTCTCCTCTTGTAGGGGAACAGTTTAAAGAGACGTTAATAGACGTATCCAGATGTTTTACAGAACCCAATGAGTGGAGTTAAGCGTAAATGCCAGCGTACGGTTATGGTATTGAAGTCGAATGAAATAAATATGCCAAAACTTACTAATGGGTTATATGTTTGAAAAGGATCGATCAACTAGGTAATTTTCTACTGCGTTTTTTTTTTTCGTGATGCAATTTGATGTGGGAACACCCTTTATACAAATAGACGCCATGTTCCGTTTGGAATTCCAATTTATCCGTCAGTGTCATTCCAATTCGGCACGAGACCTGTTGAACCAAAACAATTGCTACTGTTATTGGTGGTGATTGGAGAAGAATGTCTACCTGCTTCATCGAGCTTTTCAGGTATTAACAGGTACAATCTCTAAAACCAAGCGCAATGAAAAGGTAAATTCGTTTGATTTAAACTGATTATCAACTTTAAATAGAATAACAACAAACGTGACCAAATTGAAAGTCAAGCGAAATTTTGAACAATCACAGTGTTGCGCGCATTGGCTGCCTTGGTTGCTAAATGGTGTGTTTTCAAAGGGATCAGATAGCGTTTCTTAGTATATTCTAGTCTCTTTACCCAAAACTATAATTTTAGTCAAAATGATACAAATATATTTCCAGAGATTC